CACACACACACACACACACACACACACACACACACACATAGTGTGAGAAAGTCAATTCAATGTGATTTCATCAAAACGTACAGTGCATCCTCCCAGGAAGGTGGTGTGTTTGGTGTGTGTGTGTGTGTTGCTTACCCCCAGTCCCCCCGGTAATGCAGAGTACACAGGAATATAATAGTGAAACTCTCTGTTATTGAATACTGTTACCAGTGCTATTCCTGGAACGTAAAGAGTGCTTGTTCCGTGCCGTGTCTGTGACTTTGAAAATGTGTGTATGTGTGTGTTCAGTGTGTGTGGACATGTGGACCTGTATGCATGTGTATAAAGTTAAACAGAGGGCTAATAAATTCAGGTATTTAAAAGTTTTTTGTTTGTTTTAATTTGGGGTTTAGTAGCCGAAAGGCTAACGTAATCCACAACACACATTTTTATCAGTTGTTCATTGCAGGCTAAATATTTACTTCTCATTAAGTGAATGAACCTTAATTCACACTGCCTAAGCACCTTCTGTCGGCACGAGTCCCCTGCGCTCTAATGAATGTATGCAAATCCATCATCAATCTGAAGATTAGCTACAGCGCTGTGCTGTGTGTGTGTGTGTGTGTGTGTGTGTGTGTGTGTGTGTGTGTGTGTGTGTGTGTGTGTGTGTGTGTGTGTGTGTGTGCGTGCGTGCGTGCGTGCGTGCGTGCGTGCGTGCGTGCGTGCGTGCGTGCGTGTGTGTGTGTGTTGATGCTAATGCAGAGAGATTGTGTTTCTGTTGAAAGACTGATATGAAAAGAACTGTTTAGCTTTAGTGGAGATATCAGACTAGAGTACCTACTCTATGTCCCTCTCTCTCTCTCTCGCTCTACTGCCTGGATGGAAGGTGAGAGGGATGGAAAGAGGATGGAGGGAAGTGGAAGAGGAGAAGAGGGGAGGTAGAAAGGACAAATGGATGGATGGATGGATGGATGGATGGATGGATGGATGGATGGATGGATGGGGTGGAGAGGTTTTGAACAGTCACTGTAAGCATCATTATTAATTTTCTATTATTTATCTATTTTCTTTCTCTCTGCATTGTTGGGAAGGGCCCATAAGTAAGCATTTCACTGTTAGTCTACACCTGTTGTTTACGAAGCATGTGACAAATAAAATTAGATTTGATTAGACCAGGTCACAGTATCAAAGTTCACATTTCCCTGAGGAAGGAATGAAAAGAGGAAGGAAGGAAGGGAGGTGGTAAAGATTATAAAACACCCTGTAAATAGCGGAGGGCATCAGGAAGGGAAGTGGAAGGGAAGATAGGGCAGGGACGTGTTGTGTGTGTGTTGAGTGTATGCGTGCGTGTGAGGGTTGCTGCTGCTGGGGATGAGAAGAGAAAGCTATTTTGGAAAACTGTTGAGCTATTTATTTGCAAGTCATTGAAGCTGAAGTGATGCGCCCTGGGAATCGCCACTGAGCCCCGCTCCGCAACAGCTGCCGTCCCTAAGTGAGTTAGCGAGCGTCAGACATCTTTATGTCACGATGGCCCGTGATTTATGCCGCATCGCTCGGCGGAACCTGCACGCGGCAGCACGAGAGAATCTGCTGAAGCCATCCGTTTGGCGGCTGAGTGAAAAGAGCGTGTGGATTAATGGCTCTGTCAGAATGTATCTGCGCAAAGAACGAACACTGATTAGAGTATTAAGCAATTAGCCATTTATCACCGTGGAACTAGGTAGCCGGGTAATTAAAGTAGTGGTGGTTTACCCACGGAAAGAACGTACCACTTACACACTGTTACAGTCACTACCACAGAGATCTGGAGCTATAGGAAGAACACAGGACTCAAACACTGTTACAGTCACTTCAGAGATCTAGAACTGCAATAGAAAGGGGTTCTGTGCTCTGTCAGTTGCTACAGAGATATGGAACTAATATAGAGAGGGTTCTGTGTTCTGTTAGAACCAATGCAGACTTTATGACTACAGAACATTAGCTCAGTACAGTAGTAGTTATGGTTTTATGACTAGAGGACATTAGCTCAGTACAGTAGTAGTTATGGCTTTATGACTAGAGGACATTAGCTCAGTACAGTAGTAGTTATGGTTTTATGACTAGAGGACATTAGCTCAGTACAGTAGTAGTTATGGTTTTATGACTAGAGGACATTAGCTCAGTACAGTAGTAGTTATGGTTTTATGACTAGAGGACATTAGCTCAGTACAGTAGTAGTTATGGTTTTATGACTAGAGGACATTAGCTCAGTACAGTAGTAGTTATGGCTTTATGACTAGAGGACATTAGCTCAGTACAGTAGTAGTTATGGCTTTCTGACTAGAGGACATTAGCTCAGTACAGTAGTAGTTATGGCTTTATGACTAGAGGACATTAGCTCAGTACAGTAGTAGCTATGGCTTTATGACTAGAGGACATTAGCTCAGTACAGTAGTAGTTATGGTTTTATGACTATAGGACATTAGCTCAGTACAGTAGTAGTTATGGCTTTATGACTAGAGGACATTAGCTCAGTACAGTAGTTATGGCTTTATGACTAGAGGACATTAGCTCAGTACAGTAGTAGTTATGGCTTTATGACTAGAGGACATTAGCTCAGTACAGTAGTAGTTATGGCTTTATGACTAGAGGACATTAGCTCAGTACAGTAGTAGTTATGGCTTTATGACTAGAGGACATTAGCTCAGTACAGTAGTAGTTATGGCTTTATGACTAGAGGACATTAGCTCAGTACAGTAGTAGTTATGGCTTTATGACTAGAGGACATTAGCTCAGTACAGTAGTAGTTATGGTTTTATGACTACAGAACATTAGCTCAGTACAGTAGTAGTTATGGTTTTATGACTATAGGACATTAGCTCAGTACAGTAGTAGTTATGGCTTTATGACTATAGGACATTAGCTCAGTACAGTAGTAGTTATGGCTTTATGACTAGAGGACATTAGCTCAGTACAGTAGTAGTTATGGTTTTATGACTATAGGACATTAGCTCAGTACAGTAGTAGTTATGGCTTTATGACTAGAGGACATTAGCTCAGTACAGTAGTAGTTATGGCTTTATGACTATAGGACATTAGCTCAGTACAGTAGTAGTTATGGCTTTATGACTAGAGGACATTAGCTCAGTACAGTAGTAGTTATGGCTTTATGACTAGAGGACATTAGCTCAGTACAGTAGTAGTTATGGTTTTATGACTATAGGACATTAGCTCAGTACAGTAGTAGTTATGGCTTTATGACTAGAGGACATTAGCTCAGTACAGTAGTAGTTATGGCTTTATGACTATAGGACATTAGCTCAGTACAGTAGTAGTTATGGCTTTATGACTAGAGGACATTAGCTCAGTACAGTAGTAGTTATGGCTTTATGACTAGAGGACATTAGCTCAGTACAGTAGTAGTTATGGCTTTATGACTAGAGGACATTAGCTCAGTACAGTAGTAGTTATGGTTTTATGACTAGAGGACATTAGCTCAGTACAGTAGTAGTTATGGTTTTATGACTATAGGACATTAGCTCAGTACAGTAGTAGTTATGGCTTTATGACTAGAGGACATTAGCTCAGTACAGTAGTAGTTATGGCTTTATGACTAGAGGACATTAGCTCAGTACAGTAGTAGTTATGGTTTTATGACTAGAGGACATTAGCTCAGTACAGTAGTAGTTATGGCTTTATGACTAGAGGACATTAGCTCAGTACAGTAGTAGTTATGGCTTTATGACTAGAGGACATTAGCTCAGTACAGTAGTAGTTATGGTTTTATGACTAGAGGACATTAGCTCAGTACAGTAGTAGTTATGGTTTTATGACTAGAGGACATTAGCTCAGTACAGTAGTAGTTATGGTTTTATGACTAGAGGACATTAGCTCAGTACAGTAGTAGTTATGGCTTTATGACTAGAGGACATTAGCTCAGTACAGTAGTAGTTATGGTTTTATGACTAGAGGACATTAGCTCAGTACAGTAGTAGTTATGGCTTTATGACTAGAGGACATTAGCTCAGTACAGTAGTAGCTAGTTATGCTTGAGAGTGACAGATGAAGACCAGAGAGCAGAGAAAGGCTTTATACTTCCCTCCTTTAGAACATCTTCAGATGAACAGAATACATTTTTACATTTTAACCTTGATAGTCAAGGTTAGGGTGTCATGGCAGAGAGACATCACATGTCACTGTCACAGATATCAGCTCAGGATACACGCGTGTCCCTCCGCCATACTTTAACATTCTACATGCAGCAGCAATGGGGAATGATATTATAGCGGAAAACATCTTAAATGTCCTACGTCGTTCACATTCAGATGATATCCTTTGAATTCTCAGTGTATCTCGTCACCCATCCTTAAGTGGTGGAGATCCCATTGAATGTTTTTTTGTATATGTTTATTTAATCTTTCTTTGTGTGGAGGTGTGTGTGTCTGCTCGCTGTGCTGTAATCATGTCAGGCGGTGGGGCCATGCTGGTCCAGTCAAACTGCATTAGAAGCACGGCAATTAGAGGGAGGGAGGGGGAGGGAGGGAGAGAGATGGATAGGAAAAGAGCAAGAGAGATGAGAAGTGGCTGACGGGACAATGAGCAGGAGAGAGGGTTGATGGGTAATGGCGGTAGACGTGTGGCAGCAGGCAGGCTCAGCAACACGCAAACTACACAAATGACGCACACAACACACGTGTCACAGTTTTGACAACACACTTCAGGGAGTCCCAGGGAGGATGTCTACTGTCACAGGCACTTAGATACACTGGGATACACACACACTCGCACACATACACACACGCATGCACAGACACACAGACAGACACAAATACACACAGAAGAAGTCACTTTATTTAGCTGATTTGGTTAAGATGGTTCATTTCAGTCTCAGTCTGAGACTCTGGGTCCTGTTTTCACACACGCGAACTAACTCTTCTCTGGTTGTGTGTGTGTGTGAACCCCCAGGTCTGTCCTGCTGTGGGGAGGACTATTTGAACTCCTCCACATCACTCTGCTGTGTCGGCCATGATGGTTTTCCTAGAATGCATCCTGCTGGTAACGGAACGGTGCGTCTGCAGTGCTGCGGATCAGAGGTCATCAACCAGGAAGAGGAGTGCTGTAACGGAGTGGGCTACAACCCCCAGAGACATGTGTGTGCTGACAGAGTGTCATCTGGACTAGTGATGGAGGTAAGGAGGCAGAGTCATCTGTCTATGGCTCTGTGTAGGGGGTGGGGAGGTTGTATGTGTAGTAGTGTACATAATGTATGTCTCTCTGCCTGTCTTCTAGAAATAGATTAGCATTTAGTGTATTACCAATCATTATTAATGTAATCATGGATTAAAGTAGATTTTTACATTTGACATTTTAGTCATTTAGCAGACACTCTTATCCAGTGCGACTTACAGTTAGTGAGTGCATACATAATTTTTTTCATACTGGCCCCCTGTGGGAATCGAACCCACAACCATGGCGTTGCAAACGCCATGCTCTACCAACTGAGCTACATCCCTGCCGGCCATTCCCTCCCCTACCCTGGACGACGCTGGGCCAATTGTGCGCCGCCCCATGGGTCTCCCGGTCGCGGCCGGCTACGACAGAGCCTGGAGACAAACCAGGATCTCTAGTGGCACAGCTAGCACTGCGATGCAGTGCCTTAGACCACTGCGGCACTTTCCAATGTATTTTTTTATATTTTTCAAATTTTTAAATTGTAGAGTATATTTTTAATGTACATTTGTTTTATATATATATATATATATATATATATATATATATATATATATATATTGTTTTTTTATTGTTTTTTAATTTTGTAAATTTTTTATCATTCTTTTTTTAAAAATATATATATATTTTTTTTTTTGTAGGGGTGGGGTAGGGGGGGGGTGGTAGAATGATTACTTTTATACTATCCCAGGTATTCCTTAAAGAGGTAGGGTTTCAAGTGTCTCCGGAAGGTGGTCAGTGACTCCGTTGTCCTGGCGTCGTGAGGGAGCATGTTCCACCATTGGGGTGCCAGAGCAGTGAACAGTTTTGACTGGGCTGAGCGGGAACTGTGCTTCCGCAGAGGTAGGGGGATCAGCAGGCCAGAGGTGGAAGAACGCAATGCCCTCGTTTGGGTGTTGGGACAGATCAGAGCCTGAAGGTAAGGAGGTGCCGTTCCCCTCACAGCGCCGTAGGCAAGCACCATGGTCTTGTAGCAGATGCAAGCTTCAACTGGAAGCCAGTGGAGTGTGCGGAGGAGCGGGGTGACGTGAGAGAACTTGGGAAGGTTGAACACCAGACGGGCTGCAGCGTTCTGGATGAGTTGTAGGGGTTTAATGGCACAGGCAGGGAGCCCAGCCAACAGTGAGTTGCAGTAATCCAGACGGGAGATGACAAGTGCCTGGATTAGGACCTGTGCCGCTTCCTGTGTAAGGTAGGGTCGTACTCTGCGAATGTTGTAGACCATGAACCTACAGGATCGGGTCACCGCTTTGATGTTAGCGGAGAATGACAGGGTGTTGTCCAGGGTCACGCCAAGGTTATTTGCACTCTGGGGGGAGGACACAACGGAGTTGTCAACCGTGATGGCGAGATCATGGAGCGGGTAGTCCTTCCCCGGGAGGAAGAGCAGCTCCGTCTTGCCGAGGTTCAGCTTGAGGTGGTGATCCGACATCCACACTGATATGTCTGCCAGACATGCAGAGATGCGATTGGCCACCTGGTTATCAGAAGGGGGAAAGGAGAAGATTAATTGTGTGTTGTCTGCGTAGCAATGATAGGAGAGACCATGTGAGGATATGACAGAGCCAAGTGACTTGGTGTATAGAGAGAATAGGAGAGGGCCTAGAACTGAGCCCTGGGGGACACCAGTGGTGAGAGCACGTGGTGCGGAGACAGATTCTCGCCACCCCACCTGGTAGGAGCGACCTGTCAGGTAGGACGCAATCCAAGAGTGAGCCGCACCAGAGATGCCCAACTCGGAGAGGGTGGAGAGGAGGATCTGATGGTTCACAGTATCAAAGGCAGCAGATAGGTCTAGAAGGATGAGAGCAGAGGAGAGAGAGTTAGCTTTAGCAGTGCGGAGAGCCTCCGTGACACAGAGAAGAGCAGTCTTAGTTGAATGACCAGTCTTGAAACCTGACTGGTTTGGATCAAGAAGGTCATTCTGAGAGCGATAGCAGGAGAGTTGGCTATAGACGGCACGCTCAAGAGTTTTGGAGAGAAAAGAAAGAAGGGATACTGGTCTGTAGTTGTTGACATCGGAGGGATCGAGTGTAGGTTTTTTGAGGAAGGGTGCAACTCTTGCTTTCTTGAAGATGGAAGGGACATAGCCAGCTGTTTGTCTGGAGCATCATGAAATGGGTTTCCATGGCCGAGCAGCCGCACACAAGCCTAAGATCACCATGCGCAATGCCAAGCGTCGGCTAGAGTGGTGTAAAGCTCACCGCCATTGGACTCTGGAGCAGTGGAAACGCGTTCTCTGGAGTGATGAATCACGCTTCACCATCTGGCAGTCTGATGGACAAATCTGGGTTTGGCGGATGCCAGGAGAACGCTACCTGCCCGACTGCATAGTGCCAACTGTAAAGTTTGGTGGAGGAAGAATAATGGTCTGGGGCTGTTTTTCATGGTTCAGGGTAGGCCCCTTAGTTCCAGTGAAGAGAAATCTTAACTCTACCGCATACAATGACATTCTAGACGATTCTGTGCATCCAACTTTGTGGCACAGTTTGAGGAAGGCCCTTTCCTGTTTCACCATGACAGTGCCCCCATGCACAAAGCGAGGCTCATACATAAATGGTTTGTCGAGATCGGTGTGGAAGAACTTGACAGGCCTGCACAGAGTCCTGACCTCATCTGCATCGAACACCTTTGGGATGAATTGGAACGCCGACTGCGAGCCAGGCCTAATCACCCAACATCAGTGCCGACCTAACTAATGCTCTTGTGGCTGAATGGAAGCAAGTTCCAACATCTAGTGGAAAGCCTTCCCAGAAGAGTGGAGGCTGTTATAGCAGCAAAGGTGGGACCAACTCCATATTAATGCCCATGATTTTGGAATGAGATGTTCGATGAGCAAGTGTCCACATACTTTTGGTCATGTAGTGTATATTGGACATTGTCGTAGCCATGTGTGATGACAGCAGGTCTGAATGTATATCTATATCTATATATCTGAACACACACACACACTTATCAGTTGCTTCCAGGCTGTAATAGTGTGTTCCTATCCCAGCATGAGAGAGAGGGAGGAGAAGAGAGAGAGAGGGAAGAGGAGAAGAGAGAGAGAGGGAAGAGGAGAAGAGAGAGAGAGAGGGAGGAGAAGAAGAGAGAGAGGGATGAGGAGAGAGAGGAGGGAGGAGGAGAAGCGAGGGAGAGGAGGAGGGAGTGAGGGAGGAGGAGAAGAGAGAGGAGGGAGGAGGAGAAGAGAGAGAGGGAGGAGGAGAAGAGAGAGGAGAGGGAGGAGGAGAAGAGAGAGGTGAGGGAGGAGGAGAATAGAGAGAGGGAGGAGGAGAAGAGAGAGAGGGAGGAGGAGAAGAGAGGAGAGGGAGGAGGAGAAGAGAGAGGAGAGGGAGGAGCAGAAGAGAGAGAGGGAGGAGGAGTAGAGAGAGGATAGGTTGGAGGAGAAGAGAGAGAGGGAGGAGAAGAAGAGAGAGAGAGGGAGGAGGAGAAGAGAGAGGAGAGGGAGGAGAAGAAGAGAGAGGGAGAGGAGAAGGGAGAGAGGAGAGAGAGAGAGGGGAGGAGAAGAGAGAGAGGAGAGGGAGGAGAGAAGAGAGAGGAGCGAGAGGAAGAGAAGAGAGAGAGAGAGGAGAGAGGAAGAGAAGAGAGGAGAGAAGGAGAGGGAGGAGAAGAGGAGGGAGGAGGAGAGAAGAGAAGAGGGGGAGGAGGAGGGAGGACACAGAGATAGAGGGCGGAGGAGAAGAGAGAGATGAGGAGAAGAAGAGAGAGAGGGAGGAGGAGAAGAGAGAGAGGGAAGAGAAGAGAGAGAGGGAGGAGGGTTATGAGAGAGAGGGAGGAGGAGAAGTAAGACGACGCGACGCGGGAGGAGGAGAAGAGAGAGAGGGAGGAGGAGAAGAGAGAGCAGGGGGGAGGAAGGAGAAAGAGAGAGAGGGAGGAGGAGAAGAGAGAGAGGGGGAGGAGGAGAAGAGAGAGAGGGAGGAGGAGAAGAGAGAGGAGAGGGAGGAGGAGAAGAGAGAGGGAGGAGGAGAAGAGAGAGGAGAGGACTGGGGAGGAACTGTCATTATCTCCTAATGATGTCATTAGGGCAGCAGCCACACTACTCACCACACAGGGCTCCACATGTTCACACACATGGCTTCCTGAAGAAACCAACCTGAATATACAGTGGGGGGAAAAAGTATTTATTCAGCCACCAATTGTGCATGTTCTCCCACTTAAAAAGATGAGAGAGGCCTGTAATTTTCATCATAGGTACACGTCAACTATGACAGACAAAATGAGGAAAAAGAATCCAGAAAATCACATTGTAGGATTTTTAATGAATTTTTTTGCAAATTATGGTGGAAAATAAGTATTTGGTCAATAACAAAATTTTCTCAATACTTTGTTATATACCCTTTGTTGGCAATGACACAGGTCAAACGTTTTCTGTAAGTCTTCACACGGTTTTCACACACTGTTGCTGGTATTTTGGCCCATTCCTCCATGCAGATCTCCTCTAGAGCAGTGATGTTTTGGGGCTGTCGCTGGGCAACACAGACTTTCAACTCCCTCCAAAGATTTTCTATGGTGTTGAGATCTGGAGACAAGCTAGGCCACTCCAGGACCTTGAAATGCTTCTTACGAAGCCACTCCTTCGTTGCCCGGGCGGTGTGTTTGGGATCATTGTCATGCTGAAAGACCCAGCCACGTTTCATCTTCAATGCCCTTGCTGATGGAAGGAGGTTTTCACTCAAAATCTCACGATACATGTCCCCATTAATTCTTTCCTTTACACGGATCAGTCGTCCTGGTCCCTTTGCAAAAAAACAGCCTTAAAGCATGATGTTTCCACCCCCATGCTTCACAGACGGTATGGTGTTCTTTGGATGCAACTCATCATTCTTTGTCCTCCAAACTCGACGAGTTGAGTTTTTACCAAAAAGTTCTATTTTGGTTTCATCTGACCATATGACATTCTCCCAATCCTCTTCTGGATCATCCAAATGCACTCTAGCAAACTTCAGACGGGCCTGGACATGTACTGGCTTAAGCAGGGGGACACGTCTGGCACTGCAGGATTTGAGTCCCTGGCGGCGTAGTGTGTTACTGATGGTAGGCTTTGTTACTTTGGTCCCAGCTCTCTGCAGGTCATTCACTAGGTCCCCCCGTGTGGTTCTGGGATTTTTGCTCACCGTTCTTGTGATCATTTTGACCCCACGGGGTGAGATCTTGCGTGGAGCCCCAGATCGAGGGAGATTATCAGTGGTCTTGTATGTCTTCCATTTCCTAATAATTGCTCCCACAGTTGATTTCTTCAAACCAAGCTGCTTACCTATTGCAGATTCAGTCTTCCCAGCCTGGTGCAGGTCTACAATTTTGTTTCTGGTGTCCTTTGACAGCTCTTTAGTCTTGGCCATAGTGGAGTTTGGAGTGTGACTGTTTGAGGTTGTGGACAGGTGTCTTTTATACTGATAACAAGTTCAAACAGGTGCCATTAATACAGGTAACGAGTGGAGGACAGAGGAGCCTCTTAAAGAAGAAGTTACAGGTCTGTGAGAGCCAGACATCTTGCTTGTTTGTAGGTGACCAAATACTTATTTTCCACCATAATTTGCAAATAAAGTCATTAAAAATCCTACAATGTGATTTTCTGGAATTTCTTTCCTCAATTTGTCTGTCATAGTTGACCTATACCTATGATGAAAATTACAGGCCTCTCTCATCTTTTTAAGTGGGAGAACTTGCACAATTGGTGGATGACTAAATACTTTTTTTTTCCCCCACTGTACATGCCATATCATGGTTTAGTTACAGTTTATGGTAACATACATAAACACACATACTGTATATACAATCATATGAATACTAGACACAGTGAAATACAAATATGGACCAGAAGTCCCCACAAGGATAGGAAAGGTAGAACATTTTGAAAAAGGCTATTTTAGGCTTAGGGGTTAGGGTTAGTGTTAAAATTAGGGTTAGGTTTAGGGTTAGAGTTTGGGGTTAGGGTTAAGGTTAGGTTAAGGGTTAGGGGTTAGAGAAAATATAATTTTGAATGGGAATAAATTGTTAGGTCCCCACAAGGATAGTGAAGCAAATGTGTGTATGTGTGTGTGTGTATGTGTGTGTGTGTGTGTGTGTGTGTGTGTGTGTGTGTGTGTGTGTGTGTGTGTGTGTGTGTGTGTGTGTGTGTGTGTATGTGTGTGTGTGTGTGTGTGTGTGTGTGTGTGTGTGTGTGTGTGTGTGTGCGTGCGTGCATGCTGTATATCTAACTGCAGTGTGTTGTCTCCTTTCCAGGCCCAGTGTGCTCCCAGGACTCTGTGTTCAGTGTCTGCTGCCTCCACAGCCTACTGTGGATCCTGTTCCTTCAACCCCTCTCTCTACATCTGTACCTGGGTCCTTGCTACACACACACTCCACACCACACACACACCTGAAACCACACTGCTAAACTCACCGCGAACTACACACACACTCATGACCTCACACACCCCTCTGACCACACACACTCCTCCTGCACAGTCTGATCCAGCCCTCTGCTCCTCCCAAGAAGATCTGATCTACAGTGGAGTGGCCAATAGATACAGCTATACAGGTATGACTACTGGCCAATAGATACAGCTACACAGGTCTGACTACTGGCCAATAGATACAGCTACACAGGTCTGACTACTGGCCAATAGATACAGCTACACAGGTCTGACTACTGGCCAATAGATACAGCTACACAGGTCTGACTACTGGCCAATAGATACAGCTACACAGGTCTGACTACTGGCCAATAGATACAGCTACACAGGTCTGACTACTGGCCAATAGATACAGCTACACAGGTATGACTACTGGCCAATAGATACAGCTACACAGGTCTGACTACTGGCCAATAGATACAGCTACACAGGTCTGACTACTGGCCAATAGATACAGCTACACAGGTATGACTACTGGCCAATAGATACAGCTACACAGGTATGACTACTGGCCAATAGATACAGCTACACAGGTCTGACTACTGGCCAATAGATACAGCTACACAGGTCTGACTACTGGCCAATAGATACAGCTACACAGGTATGACTACTGGCCAATAGATACAGCTACACAGGTCTGACTACTGGCCAATAGATACAGCTAAACAGGTCTGACTACTGGCCAATAGATACAGCTACACAGGTCTGACTACTGGCCAATAGATACAGCTACACAGGTCTGACTACTGGCCAATAGATACAGCTACACAGGTCTGACTACTGGCCAATAGATACAGCTACACAGGTCTGACTACTGGCCAATAGATACAGCTACACAGGTCTGACTACTGGCCAATAGATACAGCTACACAGGTATGACTACTGGCCAATAGATACAGCTACACAGGTCTGACTACTGGCCAATAGATACAGCTACACAGGTCTGACTACTCTACATTACATTCAATACTGTACAACTTTATTAACACCCTCAGAATCGATTTAGAAAACATCACCAGAGTAGCTTCAAGTCTTGACCAATCAGAAACAACCTTACTGATCAAGGATCACACACTGTTGTAGCTGTGACAACAAATAAATTATTCTGTAAATTAATGTGGCATTGGAGACCAATGCATTTTCCATGACGTTCCACACACACACTCACACACACACACGTGTTGAAACAGCTGCTTGTTTGTTAATGGCTGTAAGTCGTAACTCTGGTTGGTGGTGTCATGGGCCTGTGAGCACCGCTGTATCATTAAAACTTTGGGATGGCCGTTTAAACACCACTTGAGCACTCACTCTTATTTATCAAGCCGGAGGGAGTGTGTGTGTGTGCGTGTGTCTGTCTGTGTGTGTGTGTGTGCGTGTACTTTTTCTGCACATTATTTATTTGGTTAGTTACGTCTGTTTAATCAAGACTAATGGTAATATGCTGGGTGGAGGGTGTGTGTGTGTGTGTGTGTGTTGGCATTGTGCGGAGGAAAGGAGAAGAGAGTGATTCTAGTCGAAGCTGTGACACCATCTGGACAGAGGAACATAAAGCTGTCGCAGCGCTGCCATCCACCAGATGTTTCTCACACCGCCCCCACACACACACACGCAGACACACACACACTCAAACTGCAAACACACGCAATGCTTTCATACCACAGAAACACATGCACACACCTCATACACACATCTTACACACGGCACATCTACTAGTAAACTCAGTTTAACCACATACTGCACCCTTAAGATAAAAATGGGCCACTCTGGCTACAATGCAAATTATTCAAATCACCAACGTCAGGGTTTCACAGAAGTACAAACACAACATTACCACACACCTAGAGCTGGGCAATATGGACTAAAAGTCAAATTGCGATAAATGTAACTGTTTTACTCCATAAAGATAAATACAACAATACATTTTACTTTACATTAGCGGCAGGGCTCTAGACCATTTTTTTTTCCGGTGCCAAGTAAGACAACTGAGATGGTAGCCTACGATTACAAAAGTAAGCTATTTCATTAAACATATCCAGGGAATTCATGATAGATATTTTAATGTGTAACCTGTCGAAATAGGATCCAGAATTATCAGATTTATGTTTGGCTCTTCAGAAATGAATTTGCAGACATCTTTTTGCATATTGGCCTAAACTATATTATTCACCACCCGAGGAAGTGGGAACTCAAAAGTTGAAACACTTAGCTAGATTAATAACTCTAAATATGATATTGTTGCTAGATAGACAGGTAGGCTAGTTGATTACCGTAATTTTCGGACTATAAGCCGCGCCTTTTTTCCAATTTTTCGACCCTGCGGCTTATATAACGGTGCGGCTAATCTATGGATTTTTACAGCTAAAGGCCACTAGAAGACCTCCTAAATCTATGGATTTTACAGGTTACAGTCCACCAACTTTAACTCTATGGGCTCTATGACCGGTCCGTGCCCCCCACCTTTAAGCGGCGGGCTCCAGCAGGAAAAGCTGGAGGCCGGAAAAGAGTGAGACAGGTAGCGCGCAAAAGTAAAAGTGGAACCGAGAGTGGTACGAGAGACAGAACGAGAGACAGAACGAGAGCAAGACAGACAGACATTACGAGAGCGAGACAGTTTGTCTCTTTCCCGACAATCCCCTCTGTGCATGAACCCTTACATATGGTAAATAAACATTAAACCTGCGGCTTATAGTCCAGTGCGGCTTATATATGTACACATCATTCAATATCATTCAATTTAGCTGCTGCGGCTTATACTCCGGTGCGCCTTATAGTGCGGAAAATACGGTAATCTATTAGTAAATGTAATGTCCAGCGCTAGGCCTAGGCTACTTGATGTAGCCTATTGACCGCAAATGGCATCAAAACCATACTACATAGCCTACTCCGGTTGTAAAGTGGTTTCATGAACTCAATATTAAGAGGTGAGAAATACATTACTCACAGAAAGCTGTGTCTCTCCTCTCTGTAACTAGAACAACAGTAGTTGCTTTGAAAACTGTATTTTTCCCGCAATTGCATTTTGAACAACGGTCATATGCTTCTGCTTCTCAGAATGCATCTCTCCTCCCTCCGTGCGCACAGTGGGGAGAGGGAGTGAGTGGCTCGTTCACACAGCAGCCGACAGCGAAACAGGGACAGGCAGATACCTTCATAGCAGGAATCAACATGATGCGTAGGCTATTACTGATGACCAAATAATGGTTTTAGAACAATCTACAGGAACGTTGTGTAGCAAAATCACCGAAAGTGACTGACGTAAGCAAAATTCTTCGTAAAGAGGAAGGCAATGTTGGTGTCTGTAATTTTCGGATTATCATCCCTGCTCTAACACATACCCACAGACACACACAGCATTGCAAGGAGTGTCCAGGGTATACTGCTCTAAACAGGGACTTGGCCTGGGACTCTGTTTATTTCCACTGCTCTTGCTAACAGAGACACGTAGAAAATGTTTGCGTTTGCTTTCCGTAAAGCTCTCCTGTGGGTCAGTAAAGGATCTATCTCGCATATGTTCACAGTCAAGATGTACCCATAAGGAATACTTTTGACTGTATTTACATTTACATCATTTAGCAGACGCTCTTATCCAGAGCGACTTACAACTTATGATAGCCAGTGGGACAACCACTTTTTTTTTCTTTTTTTTTATGGGGGGGTAGGGGAGGGGAGGGGTAGAAGGACTGTATGTGTTTATGTGTTTGAGTGTATACTTGCTTTTCTCCCCAAGAGACAGAATAACTTGAGTTTTACGGTCATGTTGCTGTATCTTTTATATGGCCTTTTTTGGACTGCTACTTTCTGTGTCATGTGTCTTCTCTTGTTACTTCATTATTGACCACTGATTTTGGTTATTACTTGGCTATTACTTGGATATTACTGTTTATAACTGGTTTATGAACTGGTTATAACTATATTCCCAGACTCAGACTTGGAGCCTTATACCACCTATGAGTACAGAGTATCGGCCTGGAACAGTTATGGGCATGGCTCCAGCAACATCACCGTGGTGACAACCAATGAGGACACGCCCTGGGGAGTGGCCCCGCCCCGCTGGAGTCGCCTAGGCGACCGTGATGACGTCGTACAACTACATTGGCAGGCTCCCGCCAAGCCCAATGGTAAACCTCGACAACACACACACACACACACACACACACACACACACTTGTGCTTTCTCATTGGTCTGTTTCCCGTTCCACCAGGTGACATCAGCCACTACGTGGTGCTGCGTGACGGACAGGAGCGTTACCGAGGAGACGAGATGAGTTTCACAGACGTGGGCGGGATCCGTCCGTTCCAGGAGTATGGGTACCGGCTCCGGGCCTGTAACACCGCCGGTTGCATCGACAGCTCACAGGTGGGCCGCCTCACCTCTAAATGCTTGACTTATTGACCCTTCAACACTGACCTGTCAAGGTGCTGCATGACACAGGATGTGGCTGAAAAAGCATCCTATTTGGCATAGCCAAAATGTGTGCACTAAATAGGGGATAAAGTGCCATTTGGTACCATTTCAGACAAAGCCACAATCCCATATTCTTCACCGCAGAGGTCGCAGTCCGGTCCACACAATACATGTTTCTCCCTCCTTCCATTTAGTTCATATCTACTTCAACCCTGACCTGGGATGTGTTCAAGAAGATAAAACATTCATAACTGCATTACATAGAGACACTACTGTTGGTTAACCTCCTCAAAATAAGGGAATCGTGTCTGTTCTAGTAGCTTACATTTCTAATTCTATCTTCAATGCTCTGATGTTTTCATGTACCTGGGTGTGAAGTTAAGTCTGGTTTTATTTTACAGTAGTGGAGCACTTCATTTTACACTAGATTATCCCTCAATATGATCGCCTCCTGATGACTGTAAAGATAATCAGGGCTTCATTGAACTAAGCAGCACTCGCTCTACTCTCAAGTAGTCCACCAATTTAGCCAGCTGAAGCGCTTGAGAGGAGGCAAGGTGCTCCCTTAATGTAGAGAGAGAAGCCAAACTTTCTCTGAATCAAATCTGATCCTTGTTCAAATAAAATAATATGTCCTAAAATGTTTGGGGGCTGTGGTTAATCTCAATATCTATTTCAAAATGAGTGTGACTACATTTGACAGTACATAGTCCCCCTCC